CAGAGTCTTTGTAGGATTTGCAATTTAAAAGTTCCACAAAGATATATAAACTTGTAAAAATTAATTTCAGGTATAGAATATGAATGGTGCCAAAATTTACAAAGATTGTGAAAATCTTAATGACTGCATGAGTTATATGGCTGACACGTTTCATGTCATGGAAAAAATGCATAATAAACTATGGAAAGTGTGTCTTCTCTAAAAGATACATTTGTATGCCTTTTGCTAATTTATATGATCAAATTTATTAAATCATAATTTTTATTCTTTTTCTTTTTATGATAATTTAACAAAATCAACTCAAAATAAATAATAGTACTTTGAATATTGATGATATAACTATGTGGGGAGAAAAGAATAATATCCTGAGATGAGACTTTTCACCATAAATACAATGAATATTAGTACCTTTTTTATATAAAAAAAAAAATTAAAGATGAACATGAAAATTTTAACTTAACATTGTTTTAAGAGATGAATTTGGTAAAGTTTGTAATTCTTCTTATGAATTGTATAGGACACCAAATTGGTAAACCTGTTTTAAGTATAGGACACCAAATTGATTATCTCTATCATTACTTATATATCTTTACTTATGAATTGTAATTTCACTATGTAGGATATTTACTAAAATATGGAACTGGAAAAATTAATCAAGAAATTGGAATTTTTACAATAACAATTAACCAAATATTGACTTTTTTTTCTCTTTCAATAAAAGTTAATCAAAATAGTATATGATAGTCATAATTTTATTATGATTTTAGACTATTATCTTCTCCAGAACATCCACATATCTGACAACAATGACATGAGCACAACATAAATTTACAAAATGTACATTTGTCCGGATCATGAATGACAGTGGTGTTGAGTGTGGTACGATGGTAGTCAAAACCGAGCTTCCGACTTCCCTGCACAGTAATTGTCCCCGAACTAGCTGTTGATATTGTTGATTCAAAATTTGCCCAAAGAACCAAAATCATGAGCAAGGAGATTGACATAAGCTGGGTGGTTTTTGCCATTGTAGAAGCTTTGTAGGATTTGCAGTTTTAGAAGTTCTCCCACAAATATATAGACAAGTAAACATTAATTTCAAGTATAGAATATTAATTGTGGCTTTTAAATCTTTGACTAATATTGTAACGGTGCAAAAAGTTACCAAGATTGCCAAAATCTGCATGAGTGATAATGTAACTCATATTTTTCATGTCACTTATGAAAATCGAGTAATAAATCGTGAAAAGCATGTCTTCTAGGAAAGACTCCTTTGTACACCTTTTGCTGATTTACATGATCAAATAAATAATATCATAATTTTTAATTTTTTTCTTATGATGAAACTAAATCAATTCAAAATAAAACAATAGTAATTTGAATATTATTGAACCAAATATGGGTAAAAAAGAATAATTGATGAGATGAAACTTTTAACCATAAATACAATGAATGTTAGTACTATCTAAAAAGAAAAATTATTGATAAACATGAAAATTTAATTTAACATCATTTTCAGAGATTAATTTTGGTAAAATTTGTTATTGTTCTTATAATATTGTCTTAAGTACAAAACACAAAATTGATCTATCGTCGCTTACATATCCTTACTTATAAATCCTAATTTCACTATGTTAGACCCTTGGAGATTTTACTAAAACTAAGTTACATCCCGTGCTTTGCACGGAAATTAATAAGTTTATTTTTTTTAATAATTATAAAAATATAAAAAGAAAAATTCAATAGCTCGTACTATCATATTTTTCTAAAATAAAACTAAATTCTATAATTGAATATCCTATAAATAAAGGCATAAGTGCAGTAAGATGGTATAGTTTATTATTAACCAAAAATATTGAGATTGTGTTTTGAAAATATAAGTTTAAATAATTCAAAGATGATAGAAATACCAAATGAATCGATAAACTATGTACAAAGATTGCATATTCATTAGTCTTGTAGAGCAGTATCTTTTTGGATGATAACATTCTCTTGTTGTTTTGTACAGTTATAAAATTTTCTTGATAAAAGGAATTAGTTTGTAACATTAGAGTCATTACAATTGATTATGAAGAGAATATTTTGTTTAATTTTTATTTTTTGCGTAATGTTAGCTCGGACAATTTTAATTCTTTTCTATACAATAAATATCGTCTTTCTTTTTTTTTTTTTTTGCATAAAATGTCACACCAAAATCTTCTCTTCCTACATTGTACGAGTGTCACGGGATTTAGATTTGGCAATGACATAATAAATAAAAATTTAAGAATTTGTTTAGGCCAAAGAGTGAATTTTTACTAAGGATATGGATATTACAATTTGTGAGATTTAAAATTTATGTGTACTTTCAAGATTAAGGGGTAACATTTCTACATTCAAAAATATGTGCGTTTTTTTTTTCAGCCAAAAAGGTAGATTTCATGTAAGGCAATGGATATTATATCTGTAGCATTACTAGGAATTATTACATACTCCCTCCGTTTCATAATTATTGTCCAGTTTTAGTTTTCATTTCTAGTTCAAATTGTACTAAAAGGGAAATCTCAAACTGGACAATAATTATAGAACAGATGGAGTACATTTAATTTTAAGGGGTAAAATTAGTAGTATGTGTATTGAGAAGAAGTGAAACATTAATTTAGTAAAATTAGGAAGAATTCATGCTATAATTTCATTAGTTTAAGGGGTTCACCAAAAATGGTATTATGTTTTTTGGCAGAAAACAATGCATACATCAGCAAGAATTCTCACTTAGACCGTTAAGCTGCGTTCTTTTATCCGAAAACGAAATCAGGGAAACGGAATTTCAAATTGATGAATTCTCACTTAGACCGTTAAGCTGCGTTCTTTTATCCGAAAACGAAATCAGGGAAACGGAATCTCAAATTGATGAGAAACCAGATATTTATTAAAGGAATCTTTCATTACCTTTGACATATTCCATATACGTATTGGAATAGGCATTACTTGACGATTGATGCATATCTTTTTTGCATGAGTATGTGAATAATAAAATAGTGAAATTTTAAATTTTGCACAATAATAATCAAGAAAATGAATATGCATATGCATTATCATATGAGCGTTTCTACTAAAATCTGTATTGAAAAAAAAATCACTATTAAAATAACTCGTAACAAAATAAATAAAATAAAGTATAAGAAAAGTTCTACACCCCATTTATTGCTAAAAATTTGCAAAAGAAAATATAATTTTTTTAAAAAAAAAACCATTGAAATTAGTCTGAAATTAAAAAAAAATGAACTAGAACTAACATCTATACTAGTACTAGAATTTATAAACAATGGAATCTCGTGAACTACAAGGATGATAATCTGATTGACAACCAATTCTTCTCATCGGGCAGAACAACTTTATGGAGATAAACCACAATCTTTCTCCAGATTTGAAGCATTAGAAGAGATTGTTTGTGGGAGAAAGAGGACTACCCAAATAATTTTTAAAAAAGAAGAGCAACTACATGCTGCTTTAGATGGGTTAAAAGGAAACGATTAGATGGGTGTTGAGTGCTGATGGAAGAAGAAGAGAAACGGCGAAAAAAAATAGCCCTTTATTTTTTGTGTTGAATGCTCACGGTTGAAAAAAAAGAAGAGGAACAATCCTTTCTTTCTTGGGAAAATTTGACTAAAGGACGTGGAACATGTCAAATTAATAAAAGAGATATGACTTTAAAATATTTTTTTTGAAAAACGATAATTTATTTGTAAAAAATTACTCCCTCTGTCTCATAATTATTGTTCACTTTGCCTAAAAAATTTTGTCCCAAAATTATTGTCCAATTTGACTTTTTATGGATCAAGTTACATATTTGTCTTTAATAAAAATATTATCCATCAAATTTTTGTGGTTAAACAATTACTTATGTAGGGGTATATCCGATTGTTCAAGGTAAAATATAGTTAAGTTTAACTAAAAATAAAATATTTTATTTTAGTAAAACTGGACAATAATTATGGGACGGAGGGAGTATAAAATAAGAGATACTTTAAATTGACAGTATCATCTTTTATAAATTCTTAACAAAAAATAAAGAGAAAATGAAAGCTTACTCCTCTAGCGCTGTTTCGACTTCTTCAAATTAGGTTTTCCGAATGTCAAACATGATTGTAGTTCATCCCTATCCCTCAGTTAGATTATCAGTGATGATTGAAAAGGTTTTGGAAATTCATCCTCTCTTTTTTGTCTTTTTTTTTTTTTTTGGGTGAGTAAAGGGCCCATAGGGCAATAGCCTTGGTTAATACAGCTTATTGATCTCCTATAATCCTAATCAGATACGTAAAAGTATAAAGTGGGAAAGAACTTCAAGGGGTATACATCCCTTAGCATGTCTGGTTATACGAGATTGCCATTTGGGAATCAGATTCCAAAATTAACTTGGTAATCCCTTGCTTAAAAGCGACTTTGCAGTCGAAATTCATCCTCTCTTTAGTTAAGTTTTAACCTTGTAGATTGTGATGGGTTGGCAGGTGGGATTATGCATACACGCTGGTGATGAGGAAAGCCTAAACGTAGTTTGAAATCACCTGGATTTAGGCTTCCATTTTTTATTTTCTTTTTTTAAAAAAATTATAAAGGTGGTATTGTCAATTCAAACTATATTTTATTTTACGATTTTTGACAAATAAGTTACCGACCTTCATAAAAAATATTTTAAGGTCATACCTCTTTTATTAATTTGACCGGTTCTGCAACTCTTTAGCCAAATTTTTCCTTCTTTCTTTTCCCCACATTCTTGATTAACAAAAAAAATAGATGGAAGAAAATTTATACCTTCTACTAAAATGTCTGCCAAAAGAAGAATGGACTGATTTGATGTGGAGGAAGCTATATATAGAGAAAGAAAAAAATTTCTTCCCGCATAAATTTTGAGGCGCCATATTTTGGGCCGCCTTTTTAATTTTTTTTTATTAATACAAGATAGATTGAAGAGTTTAACGTGGGATTATCATTACTGAATTTAGGTTATCTCATTACTTGGGAAAATTAAATCCTTATCTTTACTTTTTTATGAAATGCGGTAATGGTAAGAGAATCGGAATCAAACAACCATTACCTTCATTCCCATTACCGTCAAAAGAACACAGCCTTATTTTAATAGAATATAGTATTGATTACAGATCTCATTAATTTTGAAGAAAAGGAAAATTATATCCTTTTTATACTATTGTAAATCAATAAATAAGGAAGAAAATAGTAAAAATTAATCACACAAAACTCACACTGAAGCAAGCATCCAATCATCATCACATATCTGTCACCGTCTAATTTTTCTTTTTGGCTTCCCGAACAGTCAGAATCTCTCCTCTGTGTGCCTCGGAATTCATTCAAGAACTATGTCGTTTCGGGACAAGAAACCCGCGAAACCCTCCTCCAGCAATCGTACCGGCAGCGGCCGAATCCGGACGCTCTCCGACTTGAATCGCCCCTCCACTGGACATGATTCCGACAGCGACAACGATGGCCCTCCCGAGTACTATACCGGCGGTGAAAAGAGGTCCGATTTCTTTTCCGATACTCGTTTTATTGGCGGAACTCGCTCCATTTTGTTTTTCTTCTGCTTTTGAACTGTTGGATTCTCATTTAGTTACCTCTAAGTTTGCCAATTGGAATCAATCATGTTCTCAACTTACTTGATTTTTTTATGATTGTTTATTTTTATTTTTAGCCATCATTTTGGGTTTTTTTTTTCCCCCAAAAGTTGTTTATTATGATTGTGTTTTAGAGTACGAATTGGGATTCGGAAGGCCTTCTCATAAATGAATTGATTCAGGTTCGGAATGGGAGTTAACTATGGTTCTTGAAATCTACGTGAATTCAATTTGTGATTGTTACAGATTATTCGAAAAGGTTAGTTGGACTATGATATGCGTGGTGTGATTTTGGGCATACTTGAGGGGTCAACTTTAGAAAGGAAAAAGGATAGAAGGATTAATTTTCTTGGAGTGAGGGTTGAAATCTGGGTCATTTTATAGAGCTGAACGCTTGGTATTTTGCAGTTAACTTGTCTATCCATTGGCCTCCTTTTTAAGATTTTTGTTCCATTGTAGTATACATTTGATGGGAATAGGATTTCAAGATATGATCCATATTGCAGATATCGTTCTGTAGAACTAGTACTTTTATTAATTGTCCAAAACCACTCGACTGGTTGTGGGTTCTGGCCATAAAATGACCTACATTTGTTGGCCTCTTTGGAAGTCATGAACTGTGATATTTTTAGGCTTGTTATTGATAGGCTGCTTTATTTTGTCTGCCAAATGATGATGTTGGTGGTTGACGCCAATTTGTTAGATGGAAAATGCTCTACTATATTACATGGGTCTCTAGTAAGTTTCCTATTGTGTTGCCATCTCTTGTGCTTTTATTCTTCTTAGTCGTTTTAATTTTTATCTTTCTTTGTTCTTCGATATATTCTATGAGTTTAAAGCATTCCTGAACAGACCTATTTTACACCGGTCTGTATTAGAAGAGATTATTGATTGTTTTGTATGATTAGTTCTTTGACGCATGCTATGATGTTCTTGCAGTGGTATGCTTGTCCAGGATCCATCAAAGGGTAATAAGAACAATGATGTTGATGCCATCTTTGACCAAGCAAGGCAGATGGGTGCCGTGGGAGGTCCCATTGAAAACCTCCGTCCATCGTCAAGTTCTACAAGTTTCACTGGAATTGGAAGATCACTTGTCGGTGATTATGTGCAATCTGCACCGCAAGCTCCACAAGCTCCGCAACAGCCTGAGGCAGTTGTACACACTATAGTTTTCTGGAGAAATGGTTTCACTGTAGACGATGGCCCTTTGAGGAGGTTGGATGATCCTGAAAATACTCCTTTCCTGGAGGTAAGGATGGCGAGAGAATAGAAGTGGCATAATACATAAGGGGGAAATTTGAAAGTATTATCTTGTCATCTTTATTGCTGGCTTTTTTGTATTTGTTAAAGCGTTGTGACAGTCTAATCCATCATTTCAGAGCATTAGAAGGTCCGAGTGCCCAAAAGAGCTGGAGCCAGCTAATCCGAAGTCCCCTGTGCATGTTAATCTCAGTCGGAGGGATGAGGACTTCCAAGTAAGTTCATGTATTTGGTTTCTCCATATTGTTAGCAGAGCACTGTTTGTCCTAAATCATTAGCTGCGCTATAATTTATGCTCCATAAAGACCATCTCTATTGAATAACACAGCATTGTACTGTCTTATTTATTTTAGAGTTCAGCTCACGGTGTATCTTGCTTCCATTTCTGCTGCCCTATTCAGTTTCCAAAGAAATAAGATTATGGAATCAAATAGTACTGATAAGTATGTGCTTGATTGCTCTCTTTCAGGAGCCAGAGAGGCGTCATGTGCCTTTCCAGGGTGTAGGAAGAACTCTTGGTGGAAGTTCATCAAGTGCTGAAGTCCAACAGCCAGCTGTTACTACCCCTCTGAATACTGCTCCTACACCTTCAGTCGGTCTGGTTGTGGACAAATCATTGCCTTCTACCTCCATTCAACTGAGGCTGGCTGATGGGACCCGTCTAGTTGCGCATTTCAACTATCACCACACCATTGCAGACATCCGTTCCTTCATCGATGCATCTAGGCCTGGTGGAGCAAGGGGGTACCAATTGCAGACTGTCGGGTTTCCTCCCAAAGTTCTCAGCGATGTGTCACAGTCAATAGAGGAGGCAGGGTTAGCCAATTCAGTGGTCATTCAAAAGCTATGATCAGTGGATAATAGTTTCTTGTTCTCGTCATTTATGCCTTAAATATGTACGAGTAATTTTACCCATACTTCCTGAACATAATTCAAGCAGTTCATGGGACTGCTTTATTTTGCTATGAGGATTTGTTGATACCTAAAAGACTCGTATTATTTTGCTCAGTTTCACAGTTTGTATGCTTGTGTTTCTCAAGCAATGTATGATAACGTTTACAATTTCGCAGTCTTATAATTTTCCCCCATTTTTCTACCCTACAGAAAATACTTCTTTGCTTGCATTTGCCTAATCGTTGAAACTGGCGTCCTTGGTCCTCTGCATTAGGTTCTCAACTTACCAACAATCACCCTTTGATTGGCAATAATTAGAACTTGACTCACCAATAAATTTCCAGCAAAACTAAATTGATTAGTGATGAACTGATAGAAGACCTGATAAGGCGATACAACTAGATGGATGCAAATAAAGATTCAAGTTACTACTGCTACAAATAAAAAGCAGTAGTGCTACTTTTTAGTACTCTGTCCATGGTGATTTGTAACGGACTGTTTTTAATAAAATTCACAATTTGCAGTGACAGAGAAAGCAGTTTGTACTTTGTAGGATAATAAAACATCTATAATTCAACTTAAAATTCAAAACAACATTAACTCACAGAACAATCATACAGAAACCTCGGATTATGAAAATGCCTTGTATATATTTGTCTCGATAGATAAATGGTATGAAAATGCCTTGAAAATACTGCCATTAAAACTTCGTCTCAATAGGTTAACAGTTTATCTGTCAGAGACTTGACGAGGAAGCTATGGCCGACTCAACTCGGAACAAGTAAGATAAGAGTTTTTGTTCAAAAGAGATTCTACGAGCTATTGCTATGGAGTTGCAAAAAAGAAACGAACCAGTGAAGAAATCAGACATAGATTAGTAGCAATTACCATTTATAAATTACTCGTCCAGAGTTGATGATTAGTAGTAATGTCCATCCATGCCAGGGTAGTTGCACTTACAAAACAAAACAGCAATATTGTGTCTCGCATACTATCAATAGGGATCAATAGCTACACTAAAGCAGATCTTGATGATAAAACACCAAGCGATTAATTTAACCATGAACCAACCCTCTTAGAGCATTGCAGGAGAGATATCCATTGGAAAAGGATTGCCCATAACATTTTCCATATAATAGTGAGGATGAGTAGCATCCATCACCACCAATTGCATGTCTTCCGACGGCTTCCAGTGCCTTTTCCTTTGATTGATGAACCAGTTGTTAATCTGCTTCTGATCCAATCCTGTGGTTTCAGCAAGCGCCAGCTTCTGGGCTTCCTATTGATCCAAAATGTCACCACAAATGTTACAAGTTCAATGTTGTACTCATCTGTCTCCAGTTTGCTTTACATATCAATGAGAATGATTGCTAAGATATTAATCATCTAGAAATTAACGTGGAGATTACCGATGGATATGGCCATTTGTAATGCCTGCTCCACCAGTCTAGCAACTGTTGCCTCGCTTCCTTGGGCAGCTTTCCTTTCTTTCTTTTCTTCATGAATTCTTGCTTCAGGCTGCCTAAGTATCCGCTGTACTTGCGCAATAGCTGACCTTTGAGCTCCCGATCTTCAGCCTGAGGGTCTATCAAGCTGTTGTTCACATCGACATCCTCTTCCGAAGATCCATTCCTATCTATAGCCTCTCCAAAAGCTGCTCATATGTTCACAAAATATCCCATGAGAATTTGAAGCTTCACTAAGTATATACATTTTGCAACAATGTTTTGTTTCACATCAACAACATTGTTTAGGAGAGTTCAGTAATTAAGAATGAATGGCTGCAAAGTCATCAAATGCCTTCGATTGAACAGAACATCATTTGAAATTCTAGAAAACCAACTGTTTATGGGAAAACAACCATATACAAAAAAAAAGTCTAGTATCAAAAAGAATTAGAAGCCTCCTGGAAGTGACAAGTTATCATTTCAAGATAAACTGCCTGCCAGAATTTTCAAAAGGAAAAAGTTTACAAAAAACCTAGAGCACATATACATTTAGGGGTCGACAGCCTTTCCCATCAAATTATTATTATTTGAATAATTTAGCTTAGAATAAATTATAATCAAACAAGAAAAGATGGTCATGTTTCAATTAGTAGACACACACACACAGGAGACAAGCTTAGAATGTGGATATTACTAGTTCTTCAAACTGGAAGGGTAAAAGCTAATGACACAGTTTACAAAAACCAATCAAGAGTTAAGACTTCAGATACTTTAACCATCTTTTCAGGAGAAAAATACCAATAACATAAATGCAGAGAAAAAAACAGTTTTCAAGAAATTTATATGTTGGAGATTCATCAATCAGGCGCAGCTACACCAAGAAATCTTGCATGCCAAAAGTCCAAAACCCAATGCTGGTCATTTGCACAGTAATCTTCAATTACTATGACCTTGACTAATTTTCCACCACCTAATTTCACTTCACCCCTTTCTTTCACGGTTTTCATTTAAAGCTGATTATTCTCCCCTTTTGTTACAAGTACATATCTTATCTAAAAACTAATCCTATATATGATAACATTTGAATTAATCAAAGACCAAAGCTAACTCGTCACTTTCTTACAGTGACTAGCGATGGATGCACCCACAAAAGGACTAACATGAGATGCCCTTTCAGATGAAATCATGGAAAAATTATTTAATCATACATGCTTTACAGCTTGATATGAAAGACCTTTCAACAACCTAGCTAGGGGGTCCTTTAATTTGTTTCCCCCATCAATTACTCAAAACATAAGATAAAATACAAGAATGGCTAATGCAGATCATCAACCCATTAGGCTTTGGCATATAATTCACCCTTTGTATGTTAAAGACAAAAGAGTGATGTTAGTTACTGACAGGGACGAAAAAAGAAGACACACCATGGAAAGAACTCCAAAGAGCTAACAATAACAAAGATGTACTTACATTCAAATTGTCAAATGAAATATGGATAGTTATTCTGCAGCCTAAGACTTTTTTCAACATTTGCCCAACCCTATATCTAAACCTAGGTTCACTACATGCATTTATGAGAGAACAAGCTACAACTCGGTTAAAGGTCAAAGAGCAGCACACAAGTACACAACACCTGAAGGTAAATTTAATACTGTAGTGGAAAAGATAAAAAGTTAAAACCCTTGAAAAGATTATAGAAACTTCTCTGTTTACTTCCGAGGAGAAATGAAACTAGGTACTTATTATTATATATGCTCTGCCTTCACTGACTGGGAAAACTTTTTAAACAAATAATAAACTGGAGATGAACAATGCCTAGAAAGTGAAAAAGGGGTTTCCCCAAAAGACCCAAAACTCTGAGACGGAAAGAACGTAGCTTTGAGTATTTAGACAAAGCTCATCCTAGAGAGAGCGTAATAAAAAATAAAATAAATAAATAAAAAAAGCTTTAACATAAAAATGAAGAAGAAGAGGGGGGAGATTTAACAACAAACAAGGAAGAGTGAAGAAGAATACAAGTGATTAATTAATTTTTCATTTGTCTTATCGAAAAACATACTCGGTTCACAAGGAGGTAGTAATAAGCTAGAGACAAAACCCCAGCAGTAAACCAACTTGAAAACAGTAGAAATTAATTTGAAGATCTGATCTGCCAAAGAATGAATGTTCTTTCTCATATGATAAGACAACATTTTTTTTTGGAAAAAAAAATAAAAGAACCCAGGAAGAATTAGCAAGGATGAATCACCAGAATCAGGAGTAAGGGTGAGGGCTTTGAACTGGCACTCAATTCTGGAAAGGAAAACCATGGCTTCCTTGAAGGGTTTAGAGAGCTCTTGCTCATATTTGGTAAGCATCTCACAATAAGCCTCCATAAACTGATCTAGACCCGGATCTTCCCCGATGCAGTTCGAGTTGTTGGTCCGACCCGCCACGTGGGCTGCCATGGTAGCACAAGCTTCTTCCAGCCTCGCCACCACTTCCGGAGGTGCTCCTATCTGCATACATTTATCAAGTGTTAAAAGAAAAAAAAAAAAAACAAAAACGCGAGCGCGCACACACACTGATCAGTTTCTTTCCGAGACCACCCCCCCCCCAAAACCCATAGTTAATAATAACGTTATTTTGGTGGGTTACTGTCCTTATCATAGTTGTTTCCAAAAAGGTTTACTGTTGCACATCTTTTTCAACTGAGTTTGTTTTTGTAGTGGTCTTGAGTACAAGTTAAGGAAAGTGAAAGTAAACCTGAAACCGCTCTCCTCTTTACCCTCCCATCTTTTACTTGTGGTGCCAAATGCTAATGCAGAAAGGAACAGATTCAAACAAAGTAGTCAAAAATGTAGTTCTTTATGATTTTCACTTCAAATGAGAAAATTGTGAAGAGGGTTTTGTTGTTGTGCAACCAAGGATGAGGATAGGGATAGGGTTTAGTGAAGAAGACCTTTTGGCAGTTGAGATAGGCAGCCAAGAGACGAGGGTAGCTAGGATGAGCCATTATCTTAGCCTTCACAGCAGCGGAAGAAGCACTTGCATCGTTATTGTTCTTGTGGTGGTTGTTCTCCTCATCATTAGTCTCCATAAAATAACCACTTCCACCCAAGTCTTGATGATGATGATTGGTAGTATTAGTATCAGTGGAGTTGTTGTTATTGGCATCCAGCACCATTGAAGAGCTTGAACCAGCTTCAGTTACCCTAAGATGATGATGATGATTAAAGTGGTGGGCTTCATGGTAGAGGTTATTGGTGGTGCTGCTTGGGTGATGAGGTATGGGATGAAATAAGGTATCAGAAGAATTTGTAGGGTGGTTTTGTTGTTGGTGGTGGGAAGAAGAAGAACCAGTTATATGAGGCTGCTGCTGCTGATGATGCTGCATCATCATCATCATCATGGGAACACTTGAAGAAGCATTATTATTGTTGCTGTCCCCATAAGCCATCATCAAACTTGAGCCACCTCCTCCAACTACACATCCATCCATCATTTTTCTTTTACTTTTTCCTTATTGTTTTATCTCTTATTAGTAATAGTACTACTATATGTGTTGAGGACGATGATGATGATATGATGATTCAGGCAAAGGCAACGGAGCTGTTCAGCACGTCCCCGGCCCGGCCCTTTTTTTTTTTTTGGCTTTTCCTATTTGTAACAAAAAAAATCTCAAAAAAATTGGAACCAAATGGAATTGCAGAGTTGGACTAAAAAGTTGGGTTGGTTTTGAGTTTGGTTTTATGCTTTTTATCGAAAGCAGGAGGGGGTGGGGTGTTGGTCTCCCGAGTTTTAAGCTCACTATGACACAGAGAGTGGAAGGGGTGGAGATTCAGACAGAGGCTTTTTTTTTTTTTGTTTTACCAAAAATCCTAATCATAATAGAGAAGCTAGACAGAGGCAGTTCAGCAAGTAGTAGCAGCACCAGCTCTCATCTGTAACCTCAAAGCGCCTCAGTAATAAATAAAGCCTTTTTTTCATTAATAATTTCCCATTCTGATATTAAAAAAAGCTGTGGAGACTGAAGATAGATATAGTAGTAGTAGTATCTACAAGCAGCACCAGACAGTTGCATTACTAGCTACTACTTATCCCTTTATCTTTTCCAAGAAAAACACACACACATACAGTGATTACACAGAGAGTGTAGCGCGCAAGCGGTGATTTTTCAGTTAATAAGGGGCAGAAAAAAAGGTGAAAAGTTAATAAGTGAAATTGATCATCAATAATAATCAGGGGTGATTTTCTTTTTAATTTTTATTTTTTTGAGTGGGTTGGGGGAGGATGCAAAATGGTAATGAAGGCACTCAGAGGAAGAAGTAGTAGTATATTAGTCTGCAGGGTTTTTACCTTCCCAATGTAAAAAAACTCACTCACTCTGAATTTTCCCCTCTTTTCTTGCAAGTGTCACTGCCACTGCGGCACTGCCATTTTTTACTGCCACAGAAAGACAAAAAAGAGACGAGAGAACCCCCCGATCGATCAAATCGAGGGAGTGTAAATTTGTAGTTTTACAAAATTGGGGCCTAAAATTATAGGCCATAAAGAAAGCCTACCTCCTCCCTCTAGAGTTATGGATCGATGGATGGATATAAACGGGGGAGGAGAAAAAATTATCCTTTTTTTTTTTTTATTTTGGCATTTTGGGCACGGAATGAATCGGGATTCCTGTGTGAAGTCTATCTCTTCTGTTTACATCTGAGATTTTTAAGAGGCAGGGCAACCCGGGGCCGGGGGGCCTGTGGTTTTTGGAATTTGGACTACTGCCCCCCTTCCCTTCCCTTCTCTTTGTCCACTCTCACTTTCCTACCTCCTATTTTATTCCTGCATTACACAAAATTTTACTTTATTCCTGCATTACACAAAATTTTACTACCACGCCTGTATAAAAACTGAAAAATCTCAACAATTATTTCGGAATAAGAAGAATATATTCCCTATTTAAAATTATTGTCTAATTTAAATTTTTATTTTTGGTATAATTATAATTAAAAAAAATTAAACTCAATAATAATTTCAGAATATAGGAAGTATTTTTCATTCTAACATCACTTTTTTATGTTTTCAATATAAATTTTTACATTAACAACATACAAAATACACACATGAAAAACGTTTCAAACAAAACCCCAATATATTTATTAAATGTTAGTATTATGTTAAGGACAAGTCAATGCAAACTATTTATGCTAGTAAATCTTTCTAGTGTGCCAAAACCCTCTATCAATAATGTTAACTTTTTATGATTTTACGTTTTTAGTTAATACATTTTCTATCTTCTCAAAAATAATTATCTAATTTAAAATTTTTACTTTGAATATATAAATCATTTTGGAACAAACGAATACTAGTTATTTTCTAAACTGAAACATTTATCTTTTCATTGAACTTTTTTCCTAATTAAAAAATTGTCTTTTCGTATTATATTTGAGTTAAAGGATAGACTATATCCATAACAATTGTTTTTTCCTTGCTTAGTTCTTATTTTCTCATTAGTACTTTTCATTAATACAAAAAGATGAAATCCATTTACACTTCGTGAAAACAGTGTTCACTAAATCCACATGGCACAAAAAAATTTCTTCCGCCGCCCTTGCACCACATTCATCCAAAACTGACATGGCGAATTGTAGGAGTTATGAACACGAACAGCCAGATTTTTTTTATTAAATTTTGATCTAACGACTATTAAAAAATAATAACAAATGGTAGCTGCCTATATTAATGCTAAATGCCGGTATAAAGGGAAAAAAAAAATCGTAAATCCCTTTTACCCTATTAAAGCAAAAGACATGAAGCTTATGTGGCAACTACGTATGCATCTGTTTTGGCTCCAATACACCATATTTCAGATTTCAGAAGTCTTTTTGCCACGTGTAAGTCTCTTTTAATTAGAAGTTATATGATTTTTTTTAAATAAAAAACACATGTTTTACTACAAATAAGGATCACTTACATTTCAAATGAATGGATATATTAATTCAAATTCAAATGTCCAATCGTATAGTTTTGCAGGCCTAATATTGCCTTATAAACTAATTATTTATTATTCCCTTATAACCTCAGATTTATAGGTATATTTTTTTAATCCCCAAACCATAGCATAAATGATATATACACCAAATTAATTCCTTAAAAAATAATAATTCAATTAGATTTTAATAAAATAGTAATTTAGAGGGGGCGTCCGGCCAAACATCTAGTTAGAATTACCACAGTCTCCACAATCATCAATTCAAATCCCTTATAGTTAATGACAGGATATCACTTCCCACTTTTAAGGATAGTTATCGTGTCCCAAATTTCAACATTCACCTTGCTTCAAATCCAGGCGGATCATTATTCAGTACTCCTTCCATTTTGAAATATACGTCGTTTAAGAGTTTGGTGAATTTTTTTAAATATATGTTATTTTTACAAATTGATGCACATTTGACCATTTTTTATCAATGTTACCCCTGCATTGGGAATGAAACAATATTTATAATGAATTTCTATTGGTTTGTGATGAATTGTATAGAAAATAAATAAGGGTATTTTTGTATTTTAACTACATTATTTAATGTTTTCTTGGTTTTGATTAATTCTCTAGAAAGACATTAAAAAAAATGGAGAGAGTATTAATAGAATATTTATTGTGTAGGTACAATGTTTATCATTTAAATATAAAAATCACCATTCCATACCCATTTTTTCTTACAATACCCGCCATCAGTTCTCCTCCCTCCTTTGTTCGAAATTCGACCAACAAAAAAATCCCGGTGTCTCCTTAGCTAGCCACTCCCAATTCAAAACATGGCTATCTCCAGCACGTTAAAGGATTCAAAATTGTACAAGTTATATTCCAAAAAAAGTCATAGTCTCGTAGAAGAAAGTGGCAACCCGTCTACGATGCATTTTGCCAGAAAAAAATCATATTTCAAAATCAGATCGATCGATTTCCGACCGTTTTCATGATTTCGTTTTGCGCCTTTGTATGCCGACAATTGATTATTCTTTTTCAGTTGTGACCTAGATCCGGTAAACACTTAGAAATGGCATAGTATAATGCAAAAATCACTGTATATATCCATAAATTTACTAATTTAATAGTATACCATTATAATTTTCATTTCAATGTATGTTTATTCTTCTTTTTTTTTTAAAATCAAAACAGGTGGGGATAGGTCCTCTTTTATTTAAATTTAAATAAATAAAGAGGAGGCGCAATGCATGTTTATTCTTATCTCTTTCATTATCAGTTACTCCCTCCGTCCCATAATTATTGTCCACTTTGTTCAAATAATTTTGTCCCAAAATTATTGTCCAATTTGACTTTTTATGGATCAAGTTACACATTTGTTCTTAGTAAAAAACATTATCCATAAAATCTTAATAGTTAAACAATTACTTATGTAGGGGTATATCCGGTTGTTTAAGGTAAAATATATAATTAAGTTTGACCAAAAATAAAATCTTTTATTTTAGTAAAACTGGACAATAATTATGAGACAGAGGGAGTACTTAAAATAGTGTAGAGAAAGTGGTGTGTCGAATTTTTTGGTTAAGTATTTTCTCGCCAAAACTTATGAGAATCTAGAAAGAAAATTGACATGTGACATAATAAAAAAAAATGGTAAACAGTTAAAATATTTCAGTAAAGTGAGAAAATCAATATATATCCCTAAATTTATAGTGCTAATTAGTAAAAATTCTCAAAATCAACCGATAATTTCAAAAAGAGCCTAGAATTTTTATTTTTTTTTATCTCAAATTTCAAAATTCATAATAATCTCATCCCGATTCTTCTAGAGATTATTTACACTTTCCAGAGGTCTTTTTGTTAATCATGGCATCTTTTTTTCTCATTTCACCGATTTAAAATACAAGAAATGCCCGGAGAAAAACAATCAAACATCTAGTCAATGTATATATAACCAAAAGAAACGTTATTATTCGTACACCTCTTTTTGAAATTATTTTTTCCGTATTTAAATGTAACTTGAGGAGACAATGCAAAAGAGCCTATACCCCAAACTTCGTCCACGGAAGGACATAAACAGTAACCCTCTTACCCCTATACATTAGATGGAAGTCATAATTGGCTATTTATGACTAGAGCAATAAATTATTTTTTGCATGAATGAAACCTTTTCTTTTATGCACTCGTAAAATTTTACACCATCCTAAATTTAGATTTGATTCTCAAATCTCTAATGAAAATTAACTTAGATCCCAACTACGACAATCAAATGACACAAGGTTTTCTAGAAGAATTTTCATGTTACATGCACCCTTTATGACATTATTTAAATATAATTGACAAGTTTCTAATTATTTACCGAAATGAAATTATTTACTGTTTCATTAGAATATTAATTTTAACGATAACGACATGTGTGAATTATTTATTTAATGAAACAAGAAATAAGACCATGAGACATGAGCCGCCAAATAAGATTAATTATGTTAATTTCCCAAGCAATAAATTGTTGATTTTTTTTATATATATATTCT